CAGCAGCGTACTTTGTACTTCGTCAATCTGCCTGTTCTGCACCCCACTCTGTCTCTGGTGAATCCTCTCACCCTCCGCATCTCTGGCCTGTAGCCCAGTTCTGTATGAATAAATAAATCTTCTTTTTTTAAATTTATTTATTTGTGCATACTGAACTGGATACAGGCCAGAGGCTCAGGGGTGGTGACAGGCTTCACCAGAGACAGAGTGGGGAGCAGAACAGGCAGATCGACGAAGTACACTGAGGGGAGCAGCGGGCGGTCAGGAGAGGTCTGCCGCGCCATGTGGTCACCTCCGGGGGCAGATGGGAATTGAACTCAAGCAGAAGTGGCTTTTAGTTTCTTAATGCTGTGCTTTAACCCGCTGTGCCACCAGGGAGGGCCCTGAATAAATAAATCTTAAAAAAATAAACAAAAACAAAAACAAGCAAACAAACAAACAATAAACAAAGGGGAAGTGAAAAAGAATCAGAAGGGTATAACATACATGGTCTTATTTCTTATTTATAAGAACCTTACCACCCAACAGAAAAAAAAAAAAGAAAGAAAGAAAGAAAATAGACAAGAGAAGCAGGTATTTCAGATGAAAAGGTAGCACAAATAGCCTATGAAAATCTAAAAACCTTAGTAATTAGAGGAAGGCAAACTCAAATAAGTCATTTAATACCCAGCAGATTGGCAACATTTTCATAGTCAGGCACAAATGTTGCCTTACTTGGCAACACCAAATAAGAGGAAACTGATTCCAGTTTACAGCTCCTTTGTACCATGGAGCATTTACCCTGCAGAGATGCACACATGTGTGCATCAAGATGCATTTGTCAGAGGACCCCTGGAGAATTTTCATACTGTAAATAACAAGCAAATGTTTATCAACAGCAGTATTGTTCTAATGTATATGGGTAGGTTCTGACCTAATCATATACTGGAATATACAACATTGTGTATTTTATCATGCTATATATTGTTAGCTGGTCCTTCATATCACAGTTGCCAAGGATTCAATCAACTCTGGATCAGAAATGCATGCTACATATACATGTAGTGGTTATGCCTTACCATGTTGTGTTTGTGTTAAACATGTACAGACTTTTTCTTTCTATCATTCCCTAGACAATGCAACAGAATAATTATTTAAATTAGATAACCTAGATATACAGTAGGAGGTGGACAGGGTATTTGCAACTACTATGCCATTTTATATAAGGGACTTAAGCATCCTTGTGGTATCTTTGGGTGTTATTTTAGGGGGGAATCAATTCCTCTGTGGATACCAAGGGATAACTAAGGTAGATAGTTAGACACATATACATATATAGTGAACATCTTATGTACTATAATACAAGTATTAAGCATTAATTTAAAATATACTGAACAGAGCCTCCCTGGTGACATAAGAGGCTAAGTCTCAGCACTATAAAGTGATAGGCAGCCACTACAGCATGAGTTCGATCCCCAGCCAGGGAGCTGACCCACATGGTGCAGCAGACCTCTCCTGTCTCATCCGCTGCTCCCCTCAGCGGTGTGTTGTAGTCAACTTGCCTGTTGTGTCTCTGGTGAGTCCTCTTACTACCCCCAGCCCCCGCACCTCTGATCTATGCCCCAGCTCTTATATAAATAGATAGATGAATGGATGACTTAAAAAAATGCTCAACAATAAAAGCTAGCACAAGTTCATAGGGTGCGTCTCAATTTTCTAGGGTCAAAAATTGGCAACACTAAGCAATATGTTTTTAGAGATAAAAACTATTTCTGAAATTTGACAGAAGATGTAATCCCTAAGGTTGGAATAACAGCTACTTCTGAGGGGAAATGGGGATGAAACAGGGACTTCTAATTCTTTTTCAAGAAGAGAATGGCCCATTGTCCTAAACAAAGATTGGTTCTCCGAGGTTCGCCCACAACCTCAGCTTGTGGCCATGGAGGAAGGCCCAAGGGAGATGGAAGCCTGGCTGGGGCTGCTGGGAGAGGCAGGTGGGCTTGGATGTGCGACAACCCTTTAGGTCTGAGGAGCAGAGGAACATGGCAAAAGCTCGAAAGCAGGGGTAGTCAAGTTTCATTTTCTTTTGGAGATTGGAGACACAAGAGTTGATCAGAATGTGACTTTGGTTTTGTTCCACTACTGTCTCCTTGGGTCCTTCGGCCGCAGAGAGAGAAGGGGGTTCACATGTATTGATCCTGGGCCCTTGGTAGAGGACCGACACTCCATTTCTATGGCATGGCACTTAGAAACTAGAAGAAAGAAGTGGGCAAAGTCAAAAGTGTTTGGTAATGCTGGCAGTGGGAAGGTTAAGTTTTCATTTGACAGCCATAATTTTCCCAAATCTAGATGGAATCCACTATACTGACACAACGAATAAGCAAGAAGTAGTTGTGTGGACAAAAAAGGAACCAGATACTCATCGTGGCAGTGGGTAAGTGAACCTACTAGAAAGTGCTCCCCCAATCTGAGCGAACTGTCAGCGCTATCTGGCACGCTTGTCAGAACACCGCCTGCTGCTGCAGGCTTAGCCAGCCTGGGACAGAACATGGCGATTTGATGCTGCTGGTCTGAGGCCGGCAACTGGAGAGACACTGGAAGCCAAAGGAGGGCTTGCCGTGCAGCGGAGGGGTGAATCATGAATTAAAGGGAAAAAATGTCCAGTTAGTGCTACAGGGCACCCAGTGTGAACTGGGTTTCCTGTCTGTGGGTCCTCGCTCGCGCGCTTGAGATTCAATCGTATTATGGACACACTCAAAAAGGTTCAATCATGGATTTATTTATAAGGAGAAAGGTAAAAGGAACAACCCAGGGAAAGAGAGAGAAATACAAGTTAGCTAGAATGTCCTACAGTTCTGCTGACTGGTTCTGTCCACCAGCACGCTGAAACCAATCGAGAGCTAAATGACCAGCCGCAAACCAGGTCAAGAGGCCCCCCAGAACCCACATGTCCAGTTTTATCCCAACCTGGCTGCTCAGCTCCACCGTCACGTCCCAGCGTGCTTCTCCTTGGTATTGATGGGATTAGCAGTTCCAGTATCTGGAGTGGGGGCGGAGTCCATGAAACCTGTACCTGTTACATTAGCAGCGTGTTTGAGTTTTTTCCCTGCTTGGGCAGAGGCGGGGTTCACCCAGCAGCAGTGGGTTGTTCTAAGTGGCATAATGGTGAGAGAGGCTGCAGAGCCCTTGAGGATACCTGGGAAGCGGGGATTAGAGTGGTGGAGTGTGAAATACAGGGTGGATGGAGACAGATATCAACCCTATGGGGACTGACAGGCAACGAGAAAGTGAGGGGCCGCCAGACTGGTGTCGTGTCTGGCGTACATGAGTCAACTAGAAGTTAGACTAGTGATCAGAGAGTGCAAGGCTTAGATTTCAGAGGTGGTGCACTTGGTGGTGTTTCAGCATGTGAAATGGAAATGACTGCATGAGTAGAGCTGAAGAGAACGAACGGGAGGCCAGGATATACAATACACCTGCTTATCCAGTGGGGACTGAAGTCACAGAGCGTGACAGCAGAAACTGAGATGGGGAGGGAGGCAGGGGGGACATGGGCCAGGGAGCGTGAGGGTGGGTCGGTGAACAGCCTGAGACGCTGCTGAAGCTATGCTGACATGAGTGAGGTGAGGGGCTGCATTAGCAAAGAGGGGTCCCTCCTTGTACTGGGCTCCAAGGGGCAGGGGGGGCGAGTGGATGGCCGGGAGAGGTGAAGCCTGACTTCAGCCTTCTTCTGTCTAGTAACTGCCCTCCACCTTCAGTAAGGACCTACTTCCTCCAGTTCCTGGCCATGTAGAGATGTGGGACTAACTTGACTATTAATAGCAGAAAGGAAACTCGAAAGAATGCTCCAGGAAGAGGGTGTGTGGAAGGAGGGCAGGAAGGCAGTGAGAGGGAGGCTCCGGGTCTGGACACCAGCGTCCACCTCTCCTTCCTTTGTTACCCTCAGCTCACCACCCTCAAAGGCTGCTCCCTCCAGGGACTAAAACCAAAAGACTCCAAAGTGGGGGGGGTGGGGGTGGACAGTGAAGTGTAGAAACCAGACAAGAGAAGCTGACATCTTCCTGGATTGATGTGATAAAGCAAAAATAAGTTCTGGGTCCTCTTGAAACATAACTGTGGAATAGCCGCGCTGATTCCCGAGCATGATGCTGAACACCTACGTTAGTGGGCCTTTGCCATGACGAGGGCTGCCCGCGCCAGTCCCTGCACGACCTGCCCAGATGCCCCAGGCTTCAGCGTATCTGACATCCTCTCTTTACAGTGTTCAGCGCCCCCCCCCACCTCTCTTCCCCTACTTTTGAAGATTTGGTTGTGTTCCCATCTGCTTCTGGAGCATTAATTCGGTACCCCTCATTCCCTCTTCACAAGCTCCCTGCCTCAGCAGTCTGGCCATCCTGGCCTGCTGCTCCCCTCTTGTTCATAAGACCCACTCATGGCTTTCCACCAGGAGAACCTTGGGGGTTCCACATTCCCTGCCCTGTTTTATCCTTGAAGGTTGTTTGCTCTGATGTTCTGCTCTGAGCAGCTATCGGTCTGTACCAACCCGTCAATGCTTTTTTTTTTTTTTTAAAGATTTATTTATTCATATAGAACTGGGGTACAGGCCAGAGATGCGGAGGGTGAGAGGATTCACCAGGGACAGAGTGGGGAGCAGAACAGGCAGATCGACGAGGTACACTGCTGAGGGGAGCAGCGGGCGGGTCAGGAGAGGTCTGCCACGCCATGTGGTCACCTCCGGGGCAGGCGGGAATCGAACTCATGCGGAAGCGGCTTAAGCTTCTTGGTGCTGTGCTTTAACCTGCTGCACCACCAGGGAGGGCCTCAACCCGTCAATGCTTTAAGGAAGCCAAACCCGCCCTCCAGAGGTCCTAAACAGGTATGGTGAGGGGGAGGTGGGGGGGAACCTGACCTTGGTGAACAGCATCAGGATGGGGTTTATGTAGGCAGAAGAACAACAGGAAGGAGCTCAGAGCGCTGGGTTGGAGTCTCAAATGGGGGTCCGGGCAGACTGACGCCCTCACCTGTGCCGCCAGTATGGAGAGCTCCCCACTCTGCACTGGGCTCAGGTAATGCCCAGACCAGCTCAGTGCCCTGGGCACGCCTGCTGCTGGCAGCCTGCTGTGGCTGCCACAGCAAGCTATCCCGTACATTTATTCTCTCACAGTTCTGGGAAGCAGACGTCTGAGTCAGGTGTGGGCGGCACAGCGCTCCAGGCGGGGCCCTGGACTCTCCGCACAGTCCTCGCCTCTGGAAGCCCCTGTGGTGCGTCACTCCCCGGATTGCAGTGGTCACTCCAATCTGCCCGTGTGCATCCTCCATCTTTGAGCAGATAACTTGCCCTTGAATTTAGGGCCCACCCAGATAATCCAGGCTGATCTCACCTTAAGAGCCTTAGCCTCATCACATCTGCAAAGACCCTCTGTCCACATAAGGTGATAGTCACAGGTTTCAAGGACTCTCTTTTGGGGATGGGTGGGGCAGTATTTTTCAGCCTGCGCAGTCCCCATCAGGAAAATGGGCAAAATGACCTCTGGGGGGGTTCCTTTTGCCAATTCCAACAGCACCCCCACGTGGGTTGAAGACCCCAAAGATGCATCTTAATCAACTTCCCTGGCATAAGGGGTGTTAGAAACTGAAAATCTGTGAGCTCCCTTCCCTGCCTGGTTCAGGTGAGTTGGTGAGAGTGGACCCCGAGGATGGGACAGAGGACAGAGGAAGGGCTTGGTCTTTACTGCATGAGGGTATACAAAAAAAGCAGCTGCCTGCAAGTGAGGGGCCTCATATAGCCCAACTCCGCTGCCACGTGGAGCTCAGAGCAGCCCCCGCCACTGTGAGGAATAAACGCCAGGGACTTACTTAGGCCACGTGTTGGCGGTATTTTGTTGGAACAGCCCGAGCTAATGAAGACAAGAGGGTAGGGTAGAGGTTCACAATGGAGAGACAGCAGGAAGGACTGTTTCAGCTTCTGGGGAAGGGCAGGGTCTCCCATGCCCGCTCCACCCCCACCAGGCCAAGCGGTCAGGCTGACAAGTGAGGCCACAGGTTCCAGAGGCTCACCCTGCCCACCCCTTCCCAGAGCCCTGGGAGAGGATGAGTCTGCCCTTTTGGTGCCTCTAGAGGACAGGGCAACATCCCAGGGGGTTATCGGGCCTGGCTCCTCGGCACAGTCTCTCTCAGAGGAGCCCAGAGCCCTCGGAGATAATTCCGGGCATTCTTCAAATCTGGAATTGTTTTGCCCTTATCGGCTTGTTTCAGCTGGCCTGGCCTGTGGACACTAGCTCGCAGGGCGGGTGCTCTCTGGCCGTTTCCCAGGGCAGGAGAGGCTGCCACTGTCCAGTGTGGATGCCTCCAGCCATGGTGAGGCTGGCTCACTTGAGTACACAGTCCCTGCTGGGAGGGCTGGCCAGAGGCCAGAGGCCCGGCTGTCCCTTCCCCAGGCCAGCACTTTGTTCTTTGCTGTCCCCCGGACCTGGGGTGAGCCCTGGAGGGGGGGGGTACCCTGCTCCAATCTGCACACATCCCTGCCCAGTGCTGAAGCAGGACCTTCCAGAAAGCACTACAAGGGTAGTTAAGAGCACGAACTTAGGTCATGTGCCAGGCAAAGTCTGAACTCTGTTCCCCAGTCTCCCCATGTACCAGAAGTGATGGGAGGGTAAAGACCATAATTCTTTCCCACCTTTCAGTACTTGGGGTGCACAAAGAAGTATTCCCGTGTTGCACTACAGTGTTCTTTCCTGGTTTCCCAGTGCAGCCTGGCAACTCCTGGTGGCTCTGGTCAAGCTAAGGGCTGACAAGGAGGGTAAGCTGGGACCCTCCTGGGGAAGAGGAACTAAGTAGCCTGGGTAGGAATACGCTCTGGGAAGAGCCTCCTCAGAGAGGCTTGGGAGAGTCAAGGGAGGCGGAGAGGAGAGCAGAATTTTCACACTGGCGCCCCAATTCTCCCTCTGTGAGAGCTGGTGAAGGCAGGGCCAGAGCCCCAAATTCTCCCTCTGTGAGAGCTGGTGAAGGCAGGGCCAGAGCCTGGTGTTCAGGGACCCAAGGTAGAGTGGGTGGGGTAGGGGACTCCCCCTGGCCAAGGTTTCCTGCCCAAGTTAACAAAGCAGATCACATCAACCTCCTTCCCCTTCCCACCCTGAGGGGTGTAGGGGAAAATGATAGTCTGATACAAGCCTTTCTAGAAGAAAGGGGGGACTAAGAAGAATTAAGCAGAGTGAGCACCCACGGAGGGTAGGCTAGTTAGTACAGGTATCTCGCTGCATGTTTCTGTTCTTGAGAAAGTGAGGCGAAGAGGGGTGAACCGGCCTCTTCAAAGCCACAGCCGGTGAGCGGTCAGGGTGTCGGTCTGACAAGCAGCTGGTGCCCAGGGCGCCATGTGGCACCAGGCTGAGTGGGGCTGGCCCTGGGCCGAGGCTGTAACGAGGACAGTCCCTTGGGTGTTGCCTCGTGTTTGTGGCGGAATGAATGACACAGGACACAGTGTGACAGGGGTTGGCAAACTTCTGTGAAGGGCTGGAGGTAAACATTTCAGAACCCGCAGGCCCTGTGGCTGATTTCTTGCAATGACTCAAGTTCACAGAAGCCAGAGCAATACCAGGCGGCATGCGAGACCGCAGGTGTGGCTGTGTTCCAAAGAGCGGCCCGATCCCAGGTGGCCAGCAGCAGCCGGCTGACCCCAAGACACAGGCGCCTGCTGTCTGGGGGAGAAGTCTGGGCTTCTGTGCAGCTGTGGCCCCGCTACGGTGATGTCGCTGAAGAGCTCAGCAGGAACCGCACACCCTGGCCTCCTGCATACAAGAGCCTCACGGGATGACCCCTGGGAAAAGGTAATGAAGACACAGAGGGAGGGGGGTGGGCTCGGAGGGGTCCTCGCCTCTAGGTATGGTGGTTCTCCTGTTGCCAGGACACCCCTGTGTGCTCAGACACTGAGGCTGCATAGCAGCCTCATGAGGGTGCCCAGCCCATGGCCACTGCTCTGGTACCCAGACATCCTTTTCCAGCGGGCACTCCAGTGTGCTCCAAGGGCTGGGTGCCTTGCTGCTGTGCTCGTCCTGACCCTCTGGGAATGGCCAGTGACAGCAGGGCTGGGGCGGATGACCGACCCACACTTAGGTGACCCTAACTTGGTTTCCAGCCCCTTCTCCTTAGGAAGCCAGTGACTCCTGGTCCTCTCAGTGTCCTCTCTCCCTGGGAAGTCCACTGAGCTGCCTGCTTGGGCCTGGGGTGCAATGTAGCTCCCGCTGTGAAGTGTCAGGAGATGCCCAGAGAACAGCCCTTGCCCTGACCTTAACCGCATTTCAGAAGCATGGCTACATCTGCGTGCACACGTCCCAGGTGTGGCTGACCGCACCCAGCCGGCCCCGCAGGGCTCACATCTTGGCCACCTCCCAGTGTCCCCATCCACCCTCTCTCTACCTAGGGCGACACCTCTTCTGATCTAAATGTCATGGGTTTGTTGGGCTCGGGTGTGAAGCTGGTGCCAGGGGCATCCTGCAGATCGTCTGGCCTCATTCCCTGGCCATCTATTCGTACCCTTCACCCCTCTCACAGCGTGGGGCTGCAGACTGAGTCTCACTGGGGCCACTATGCCACTGTGCAGATGGCCATGGTGCAGCGTCCCCCACTGAGGGCATCCCTGGGCCTCCAGCGCAGGTCTGCATGCACAGGGCCTGCATGAACACCACAGATGGCAAGTTTGGGGAACACACACCCCTGCTGAGGTCCAGCTAGATGAGCAGGGTGTGGGGATGGCGAGGAACCAGGAACACTGGCTCCCATGCAGGCCTGGGACCCCATTCAGCTCTGTTCTTGGCCAGGACCACAGTCCCCCACCTGCTCGGGCTCCTCTACCAGCCCAACCCCCTGGCCAGCCAGAGGATCACGAAGTGTGTCTTCAGGGCCAGAAACCTGGAAGATATGGAGAGAGAGGTGTACAGAGAGAGGGCCAGGGGGGCCTCCCTCCCCAGCAGGCCAGCCCAGGGAGTTGTTAGTTTCCATAGGATTCTCAGAGCGGTGCCTTCAGTGACCTCTGCAATCACTCCTGAAGACAAGATAGGCCAGAGCAGGCTGCAAACCCCCAACCCCATGAGCTCTCTAGTTGGAGGGTGGATGCAGAACCCAACCCCCAACCTCAAGAAGACAGAGCTGCTCACCAGGAAGCTTCTAAATACATTCTTCGGATTACTGTTATTCTAATTCTGTTGCTGACAGCATCGAGGTAAGAGGAGAACTAGGAATTCAGTGTGCCATCTGAGGCTGGCACCCTACCTCCACCTGTAGCCAAGTGCCTGAGGCCCCACCAGCTCTGTTCCACCTGTCGTGACTGTTCCTAGCAGGAGGTGTGCAGTGCTGAACCCTGGCTGCGTGGGGCTGGTATGGCAGGTTTTTTGTGGGGTACGGGGGTATACCAGTCTGCCCAGGCAGGGAAAGGGCTGGGCGCTTCCTGAGCTGAACACGATGGATGGACTAGCTGCCTTAAAACAAACCCCTTCCCAGGGCCTCCTAATCCCTCTGCCTGCTGCAGACCTAGTGAATCCGGGCAGGGTGCCCAGCGGTGGGCGGGGGTGATGCCCGCCTGACTGCACTCACCTCCCCTGCCAGGAAGGGCTCCCGTACAAAGGTCATGAGGACAGGGCAGCATCCTGGCCAGGAGGCAGTGTCTCAGAGCCTCTCAGGGGTCACAGAGGAGACTACAGGAAGCTGGAGCTGGGGTGGGGGTGGGCTGCAGAGACTAGGGTCCTGGGTGAGCCTGGGGCCTGTTTCCTTGCCTGTCAAGGGAGAAAGAACTAGCTCTCTTGGGACAAATGAACATTTAAAAAAAGCATTTAAACTTTTTTCTGAATCTGCAGGGGGCAGGTCTTGCCGGATGGGGGAGCCTCGCCAACACTCTACTGGGCCCTGAAGACACAGAGTCCCTGTGTTGAGAGTCCTGGGGCAGGGCCTGGGGTCCTGCTCCCGGAGCAGGTCAGAGGCCAGAGGGGCAAGGGAGCATGGTGCCCTGTCTCTTCCCGGGCTGGGGTGCTCTACACCCTTAAAAACAGCTCATCGTTATGGCTTCCTCATTTTCCTTGCCCCACACCAAGGACCTATATTTTCAGGACAGCTCTGAGGAGCTTAGGTGAAGCAACTTGGGGGCCTAAGGAAATTAGCTTCAGGGCTGTGTGTATGTGCCAGCTCATGTGCTGTTTCTCCAAGTGTGATGCTTGGAAGTGCAGAATCACCCAGACAAAGCCAGCGAATTCCCAGCCCCACTGACGTGCAGAGTTAGAACCAGGAGGGAGCGATCTGGGACTCTTTCTGGAAAAAAGCCTCATCTTCACCCT